CGATAGCAGAATGACCACAGAAGTTAGTTTGAGAAGGTCCTACAGTGACCGCCCCCCAAAGTGAGCCTGCAATCTGTCAGCCAGTCTAAATAAAACTCAAAACTAAACTTCAAACAGAATTCCAGACTTTTATTATGTCCAAGCCAACTTTTATGATGTGTGAGAAATGTGTTGATTTGGCAAATGAATGTCATTTGTTCAGGATACTATTGAAACACCACTTATTGACTTTCATGAATAAAATAAAATAAAATAAAATAAAATAAAATAAAATAACAAATGATGTTCCCATAGACTAGTACTTCTAATTTCAATAATTAAGTACATTCAAAAGTAAGTATGCATACACAACCATATGCGCACATCTACACAGAGCCCAGTTAATGTTCAGAAAGTTGTGTAACTGAAACACTGTGTGATAATTTACATTACTGGGTATTCCTCGCCAACAGGCGATGTGTGTAGGATCAGTGCTGCAAGCTTCTGAACCAATCAGATCAGAGGAAAAGATCAATCCGTGACAGGTGCATGTGATCATCCTCCGTATCTTTTTGAAAGGGCATCTGCTGTCTGCTGCACATGAACAGATGATGGTTTGAGGACTGGATCTGGGCTTATATAAGAGCTTTTGGTGTTCCAGTTAATTATAAATTATGTTTCACGTAGTTGAGAGTTACTTTGACACAAGATTACAAAATATAATTTAACCAAGTTGTGATGTTCCCATTTCTGACAAGTGATCTGATGTAGCACATCAGGTATGGTACCATAAGCTTACAATACAGACACACAAAACTTATTAGTCACGCATGCTGTTCTGAGAGATACCGGAAAGAAAAGGCACCCTTGACCTGTCATGAGATGTGTGCACTGAGAAAACGCTGTTCAAGACAGTTTCGCAAGCTGTCAAGTCATTAGCTGAACTAGCCGTCATTGCTGAAATAGTTTTATGTGAGTATGCATTCAATTAATTAGATCAACCCGTCCGATTCTTGTGGAACATCAGATGTGTGCTGCCTTCACAAGTCTTTCTGGGAAGCTTCTACACACGAACCCGGACGTCTTAATTACAATGCGATGTGCATTCAAATGACTTTGCAGGAATAAAACTGACATGTTGAGCAATTTCAAAGAGCTCTTTTTTCATGTACAGACAAATATAGGAATATTTAGAAGTGTACCATATATTCTGGAAAGCACCTGATCAGATAGACATTTTTATCACATTCAAAACAGAACAGAATATTTGAAAACTTTTTGAATTTGAAGATCAGGCTAAATTTAACTAATTTTGTCTTCTGGGAAACATGTCACCAGAGGTGTAAAGTATTGGAGTAAATGTAATTAGTTTTGACTAGTGCATCTTTGAGCCTATATTTAGTATAAGTAAAATACTTAAGTACTGTTAAAATCAGATACTCTAAGACTTTTACTCAAGTTGTTTTGGAATTGGTGACTTGTAACGTGTAGTGGAGTAATTTTCACTGTAAGGTATCTGTACTTTTACTCAAGTATGGTTTTTAGGTACTCTGTACACCTCTGCATGTAACTATCTTCTGTAGCCTCTGAAGGGCAGTGCTAAATGAAAAAAATATGATATTTATGCAAAATAAGAAAAATGCACACATCTCCATTCTGTTAAAAGGCTCTTAATGCATGTTTTTTTTCCTTCTGGAGCATCAGTGAGCATTTGAACCTTCTGTAATAGTTGCATATGAGTCCCTCAGCTGTCCTCAGTGTGAAAAGATGGATCTCAAAATCATACAGTCATTATTGGAAAGGGTTCAAATACACAAAAATGCTGGAAAACCAAAAAATTTTCTGAAGAACAGCAGGCAGTTTAACTGTTCAGGACAAACAAAGGATGCATGAACAACTATCACTAAACAAAAAAACACGGCTGTGGATCATTCAGGTAACAACACAGCATTAAGAATCAAGGGGATGTAAACTTTTGAACGGGGACATTTTTATAAATTCAACTATTATTCTCTCTTGTGGACTAATATGCAAACATATTTTATGTGAAATATCTTATTCAGGTCAGTACTGAATAAACAATAATATGCATTTTGTATGATCCCTCTTATTTTGGTAAAATAATTAACATTTAGCAGATTCTGAAATCTGCAAAATGTTAATTATGTGTGTGTGTGTGTAAATATATATATATATATATATATATATTAAATATCTTAAATCATGGATATGGTCTAGAATGAGGTTTTAATAAAATAATAAAATAAAATAAAAAATATTGTCCTAATAGATCAGTAATTATTTTGATACATGCATGCATTCAAGAGTAAGTTTTAAAAGGGGGAAAAAAAGATAAGCCACGTGATCACATTCAGAACATAACTGGAGAACTAGAAAACAAAACAGGCTACTTAAAAATAAGTTACAATAAACAGTAAGCAAGTAAACAAGTAAGTAAAAGAAAAGCAACAATTAAATAAATACTTCATATTTATCTAATTCCTGATTGTTTTAAGCCAGTCAAACAAAATAGATTTCACAACCCGATTCTCGGCATAGTTGTGGGCAAATCTTGTAAAAGTGTTTGTGAACTTTAAAAATACCAAGAGCTAAAAAGTAAATTTCTGGCAAAGAAACAGGCAACACCTGTCTCCTTAACACACCTGAAATCCCCTGGAGCTCATTGTGTAAAACATCTGTCACACATATGAGATCAACTGCGACGAAGCACAAACTCGTGGGAATCGTGCAGAGGAAACATGGTGTCAGTGAGTCGCAGCGGTGACAGTGAAAGTTAGAGCAGTTTGTCAACATCCAGCGTTTCACTATGAAGAAATCAGAATAAACGGCTACATTCAGACACCTTTCATGTAACATTTCAATTACAACGTCAACCCGACTATCAAACGTGCTCTGGAACGCATACAAACATGCATTTAATGATGGCTTTGCTCTGTTCCAGCTGAGGGGTTTTCTACTGGCCTTGTCGGACACAGCCGATGTTGGTGGATAAGTGTGTATAACCTCAATTAAAGCATGCTCTAAGTGTCTGACAACAGCTAATATTCCTCTTCCAGCAGCGGGCCGAATTGATGTTCCTTCATTCGTCACCCCGCAGAAAAAGCAATCATGCAGTTGTCTCGCTCTGCTTAGGAGCTGGGAAGCGCTGCCTCCAGTTGCTCATTAGCATGCATCGCTAACACCCCCTGTCTTCAAGATACAGCATCCTCCCTGCATTCATCCAAACTCCCGTCTCTTAACAACGTTAAAACCCCTGCTTTAATATGCAGAGGAATCTGCTCTAATATACTTGCTCTAAAGGTGTTTTGAGGATAGTTAAACATTAAAACACACCGCAGTTATTGTTCGTCCCCGCAGATTTGCCCCCTCATGTTTGCTTGCTTGTTTGCAGAGCTCGGATTGAACAGAAAGCCTCTGTTCTGTCGGCTCTCCTGTTAGAGGTTCAACCCATAAAGCTTTAAGAAAACAGCCAGCTGTGTTACGAGATCTGACAGTCTTTAAAATGGGTATTTTTGAAATATCTGTGGTACATTTTGTAAATTCGCCAATCGTATTATATGGAAAATTGATTTGCAGACACTAAATTAGACCTGGGCTGATTGACAAACTGAAGCAGCAGTGTAAGATATTTCTGAATGGTGGAATAGCTTTCCTCTCATGTATAGTTTAAGCTACAAATGTTCTGTAGTTACAGAAATATTACAGCTCTAGATACTATGTACCAATGTGTACTTACACTGTGGTTACATACTACGGACACATCTAGTTACTATGTAAGTACACAGGTATTAGGGCCACTTAATATAAAGTGGGACCCAAATGTTTGCTTAGAGGTTTAAATCCAGTGCTAACATCACTAACATGCTGTAAACTTGCTGTTGCCCAAATATACACTTCTAAGTGCCAGAAATCTTGAAATATCAATAGAAAGTATTTCAGAACAGAACAGGAAATACAAAGAGAGAAGGAAAAGATTTTACAATAAGATTCAATTTGTTAACATTAGTTAATGCATTAGCTATCACAAACTCACAACTTTTATACCATTCAAACAATTATAAACAATTAATTATTTATAAACATATTATTTAATTACATTTTTATACATTTTTAATTACATTTTTATAGACTATATGTACACTACCAAAATCATGCCATTTTTTTATAGAAATCTTTTATACTCACTAATTTAGCTTTTATTTGTTCAGTGTAAAAATATAGCAAAACTGTAATATTAATATTATGATAATAATATTATGAAATATTATTACAATTTCAAATAACTAATAAGTTTTCTATTTTATTATATATTTAAAGTCTATTTATTTCTATGACGGTAAAGCTGAATATTTAGCCAGATCATTCTTCAGAAATCACTCTAATATACTGATTTGCTGCTCTAAAAAAAACAAACAAACAAAAAAAAAAACATTTCTTTTTATTATCAATATTGAAAATAGTTGTGCTGCTTAATATTTTTGTGGAAACAGCGATACATTTATTTTCAGGATTATCTGATGAATAGAAAGTTCAAAAGAACAGCATTTATTTGAAATAGAAATTTTTGTAATATCATAAATGTCACTGATCAATTTTCATAACTTTTTTATTTACTTCTATTTTGTAAACATAATTTTATCATATGCTATTGTTCATTATTAATTCATATGAATTCAAAATACATTAAAGACTGTTCATTTATACTTGAAATATTAAAAATAATTAGATTTTAAATGTAGAAACTGTAAGATAACTAATGCATTAACCTCCATTGATTAAACCTTGTTATAAAGAGAGGGATAAATTGCCTTATTTCAACCGATACAAAGTTTGTCCATGGCATCACCAGCTGTGGGCGGGGCCCAGGAATTTGCAGTACACCAGTAATTAAAAACATCATACAATATAACAAACAGCATATTGTTCAGCAGTCTGCCATTACTTCATATAACTTACATCCATCCAGCAATAAAAAAGAGGCACTCAAAGAAAGCACGTACCTCTCTATCGAGCTGGTGGGGTGCTATCACGGTGACAATGTCGCCTCTTTCCGGGTCGATGTAGAACATATTGGGTGAAGGTTTATCGGGCAGCTGTCTCACGATGATGTAGCGCAGTACAGCGTTGTCCGTGTTGGGATCGTCTGCGTCGTAAGCCGTCATGGTCATCACTGTAGTGCCTGCCAAAAACAGTTGAAAAACAATGAGTTATAATGGAGACAAATGGGCAGGATGCTACTCGGTTTGGTGCCAACTATATCCTTAAGGTTTTATCTGTACACCGACACCACTTGTATTGCCATTTTTCATTAAACCGCACAGCCGAACGGAACTGTAATCGATCGAACTCGGCGAGCCGAGCAAGAGAAGACGACGCACTTTGAATGAGGCTTCAGGGCAGAAAATACGAAAGAGCAAAAGTCTACTTCTAAGAAGCCCTGTTACGATTCTCCCAGCACATCCAAGTTTTATATTGTACTGCATCTAAAATAAGGATGCCGTTCTTGGCAGATTAACTGTAATCCTAGTCAATCCTTGACATATCAGTTCGCCTCCTCTCTCAGACGTGGCCTCCGGAATGAACAGCAGCTCGATGGTATCCGGAGAGAGGGCGATATCACAGTTCAAGCGACGCTGTTCATCTATTTCATTTTCCCTCCGTCTCATCTGAATGTGCTCAGCCGCAAAAGTGGGCCGCAAATGGAGCCAGAGCCTCTCAAAGTCACAGTGACCAGGCAGTGACACGAGGCTGGTAGAAGATAGAAGTCATATCTATCTCCTGAAGTTAATGGCCTCTATCAGTGACGTTAACCTCTGATCAGCCTTTACAAGAGCTCTCGCACTGTACGGCATAAATCCAGCAGGCACCAAAAAGAGAAATGAAAAAAAAAAGGGGGGATATGTGCAGACACCCTCAAATAGGAATATTAGCATCTTAGAGTAAATGAGTAAAAGGCAATTATAAGTAATTAAGGGAGAAGTGAGTATCTGCACGGGGAGAGAGACAGCGGTATTAGGCAGCGGTTAAGCAGTACACCTCTAATGATTAATTACACATGCTGAAGCGCAAAGCGGGGCTCTCTCGTGACACCGCTAGTCAGAGCGAGCGGTTCCACTTCACTGTTCGGTTACACCAAGTTATACGACCTCCGTGTTCGCAGAAACACACACTGACACACATACGAGTGTGCGCACAGCATGACTGCACACACACACAGACACATGCAACCTTTTTCTTTCTCTCATGCGCATACGGAAAGACAAGCACCCAGACAAGAGCACTCATACTGCACTTTATGAAGAGCAACATAGCACTGAAATTAAGTTTGAAAACCCTGTTATTTATTGCATGGTTTTACTCTTGTCATTTGTTTTTACAAACTAAAAAATGTAATCAAATGGCAAATAAACAGATTAATTTAATACACCAACATTGAAAAGAAGGAAGGAAGGAAGGAAGGAAGGAAGAGAAATAAATTAACCTGTACAATAAATTAATGAGGTAAAATAGCTCTAGAGAAGAAAAGAATGTACAAAGATACAATTTTAAGCGTGGGCCAGTGTATGTACATATAATTTGTATCTGATTATTTATTCATAATTACCAAAATTGGCTCCCAATATATCCCGATAGGTAGATAGATAGATAGATAGATAGACAGATAGATAGGTAGATAGATAGGTGGATAGATGGATAGATGGATAGATGGATAGATAGATAGATACCTGTATTTGTCCTACAGAAACTTCTAAACACCAGGAAAAAAATAAATAAAATAAAAAATACATTTGCCTCAAAAAGATGAAGAGCTTCTTATGTCTTTCCATTAGAGCTAAGTTAAATCAATGACTGTAAATCCTGTCAAAATGAATCTCTCAGCCAAAAGAAAACTACTAGTACTATTCCTTTTCTAAGACATTTAAGTAGAAATTGATTTCCTTGTCAGTGAAAACTAGTCCTGTCCAAACATTCTGTTTATGTATAGAATGCATTCATAATCAAGAAATTTTTTACAACTGAACAAACATTTGTGAAAGAATAGCACAATCAACCTAATCACCACAAGACCCCTTGATTCTGAATCGACATTCAATCCGGTTCCTGTAGTTCTATTAACCTGTTCTCCTCCTGCACCCTCATAAAGATCAAAAAGCTATGAGGTATTTAGCGCTCATCAATATGAACCATGACAAAAGCCATCAGCTCCCATCAGCACACACATAAATCAACAAGCAGATCTAATTGGCTGATGGGAAGGGCCAGAAAGTGAATGCAAATCACTGCTACACAATTATGAGGCAATTATGTCAAAGCTGAGCCCAATTCAGGAGCTATTGTCTTCCTTTATGAAGTCCATACTCTCCCCAGCGCCAAGCCGGAATCAATGTTAACTATATTGGAAGGTTTAATGGGAGGACCTGAAATGGCTAGACTTGAATCTGTGGATCTCCATTACTGTATTATCAACTCTGTTCATCTAATTGTGTCTATGGGATCAGTCAGAGCGAGGACTTTTTCTTTCTGGCTCTTTCTTTCTCCCTTTTAATTCCACCATCTTGTCACACTGAACAAGAGGCAGAACATTGAAATGAATAATGTCTCATAAAATGCCTGACTTGAGCGGTTAATTTGATATCAGGCTCGGTGTCTAACTCTGCATTAACTAAGGCCGAAAACATTCATTGGCATACTGAAATCAACCACAGTATGAGCAGGCAAGTAGGAGATGTGCTACATGGACTTGCGCTATATAAACATAAAAATGATATATAACAGATTTTTTATAGTTATTTTATATAAAAAAATGTACGTATTTGTCTACATTTATAAAAAAAAAAAAACAGTAAACAGTATATATAACAACAGTGTAAATGTGTGTGTGTGTGTATATATATATATATATAATTTTAAATTGGAATAATATTTCAAAATATTATATTATATTATTATATTATATTACAGTAATATTGTGAAGTATTATTCCAGTTTAAAATAACTTTAAAATAATTTTCTATTTTAATATACTTTAAAATTTCATTTTTTTCCAGTGATGCAAAACTGAATTTTCATCAGCCTTTACTCCAGTCTTCAGTGCCATGATCCTTCAAAAATCATTCTGATATGCTGAGTTATTACCAATATTGTAAACTGTTGTGCCGCTAATTATTGTTGTTATTATTATTATTTTTTTTATTTTTATTTTTTTGGAACCTGTGATACTTTTTATTTTAGGATTCTTTGATCAATAAAAAAGTTAAAAAGAATAGAAATCTTTTGTAACAATATACACTACCAAAAGCCTTTTTTTTTTAAAGAAATTCATATTTTTTATTTAGTGACACAATGATGTGTTAAATTGATTTTAAAAAAGGATAGTAAACTTATATTGTTAGAAAAGATGTCTTTCTTGAAGAATGCTGCTCTTTTGAACTTTTTATTCATCAAAGAATGTGTATACATTTTTTTTAAATACAAAAAATATCAACTATATGATGCGACTGTGAGTCATCAATCTGTGAAAAAAAAAAAGTTATGGATTTTTTTTTACATTTTTTAACAGTATATAATAATAATAATAATAATAATTCATAATTGAAACCTTTCTCATTCAGACTTTCTGTGGCTATACCTAGAGCGCTGTCTTTATCTGTTGCGCACACTGTTCTCGTCTTCTCATCCTGTTGCTCTCTGGTACAGCAGAAGAATGTGTTGTTTGGAAGATCAAGGCATTTCAGTGGGCATCTCTGCCTTCTGACAACAGCTGAAGCCCGGTGGGTGCCAATCACAGAGCCCCACTCCAGAACCGAAGGCAGTGGTGTACCATCCAAAACCGTGGGCTTCTCCACAGGGTGCCTTCCACTTCGACATTAAAACCAAGCGCTGGCTAAAAAGCTGGGCCCTTCAGCTTTTGTGGAGGAGAGGTTTTACATAATAATAACTCAAATTGTGTCACGCCATTAAAAGGTCATATTTATATCCTGATAATGACAGTTCGGGCCAAGATTCACAGAAATCAGACCATTTTTCCTTCTTTCTCAATCCGTATTTCTTCTTCTCGCTTTTTTCTTGTTCCCTCTCAAAGAATTCCACAGCTACACTAAACAATGTCACTAGTGTTCTTTCAGTTAAAAAAACAAAACAAAAAACATTTCTTATAGAAATAATCTTATACATCTTAAAAGTACATACAATCCAGTTTAACCAGGCACTCAATATGCCCCAATTTTAATCAATAAAATTAAAAATTAAAAATACAATTATTGTAGAAGCTGCTTTGTTTACAAATTATTTTGTGATATTCAGGTTTTTTCTATTTATTTATTCATTATGCATACATTTATTTTGTGTAGTGTATGGGCAAAAAAAAAACCTTCAAAATATTTTTTGTGTTAACTATTCCTTTAAAAATATTATATTTTTTATGTTAACTATTCCTTTAAAAATATTACATTGGGAAGTATGTAGACAGTAACATGATATTGTTGAAGGTAAAATATAAATATAAATCTCAGTGGTGTAACAATACCATCCCATCATTGTATGTTAGATCCCTGACAACCTAGCAGAAAACAGCAAATCACAATCAGTGCAAATTTTGCCGGAACAATTGCATTTTTAACAGTTTCATAATTCATTTAGGTGCTAAAACAATGCAAGCATGTGCAAATAAACAACACCATCAGCAGGCACAATTCATGTTTAGTCCATCTCTCTGTTTTCAGTTATACAGTGCTGTACAAAGAGAGTTAAAAAGAAAGTAAGGGCTACAGTGCGCTAACACAAGGCCGGTGTCACACGTGGCACATCCTCTATTATAGACATCCAGGGAAATCAATATGACTTCAGGATCTCATTCACACTGGGGAAGCCAGTGCACTGTGTGATGGGCTTTATAATAGGAAAGAACGGGGGGAAAGATTGAGACAGGATGAAATAATGATGGAGCAGGTGTGTGTGAGCGAGTGATCTGACTAGATACCGAGATGAAAGGGAGAGAGAGGAAGGGCGAGAGGTCTGCAGGGAAAACAGACAATGAAGCTACTGGACAAGGGATCACTGCGCTATCTTTGGACTTTGGCTAAGTTTAAAGTGCGCAAATAATGAGGCTAATCTTCTATCCGAAATCTACCAAATTATTTTTTTTGGAATGGAATGGATGGAGATTTATTCAAAGGACGT